GACTCACACACTCGCACGAAGCTGGCATAGGGTTTAGGGTTTAGGGTCTAGGGTTCCATCCCATCAACGCCCTGACCCTCTCAAAGCAGGTCGGGCCCGGGTCCCGATCGGGAACTGAGAATGGAGCGCACTCCGAAAACTCGGAGGATGACACGCAGTCTGCTTGGAAGCTGTGGGGCTGTGGGGCTGTGGGGCTGTGGGGCTGTGGTCATAGATTCTCTATGAGAATGTCTCGACCCGAAGGCAGACCACCCAAAATCCTCCCTGCGCTGCTCTAGAGACTCCAGAAGCAGCAAGAACTAACAAACTCGAGCATCGGAGGTCTGGGAGAGAGATCGGCCGCCTGTCTCGTTCCTGGCAGGAACTTGGTGTTCCACTTCACCACCGTAGGAGTGACACATCAAGTTGCAGTGCAGGAGCATATCGCCCACACCTCCAGCTCACTGACTGACTGCAGGTGGCAACATTGAAGAGCAAAGGCGTATCCTAGGGTAGTTGGAGGATACGTAGCATTATAAGGACCTTAAGTTGGGCCGACAACTAGCTACGACTGTAACTATCGTTACCCGACTGATTACCCTACTCAGCCCTACTTGTTACGTCCTCTCTACCCCAGAGTAGCGACCACAAGGCGAAGACTGGCGATTGGTCGGCTTTCTGCAAACCACCCCAGACTCCAACAGCTGCCAGACACCGTCATTTTAGTGGAACTTATCACCGAGTGGGACAGTGGGTTTGCGTGGGTTTCGCTTCCATTGCAACTCCACAGTGGCATCATGAAGAATTACCATCAGGGTCCTTGTCACAACAGCCGTCGCCTACAATGTGAAACGTAGGTTGCAATCCTAGCGGTCCTAGCGATGGAGTGCCCGTTGCGGAGCTGGCAGCTGTAGACCATCAGGTTCTTCGATGCTACGCGTCACTGGACATCTCACGGCGGGCCTGGTCCCAAAGTCAGAGTTGCTGCAGCTGCAAGTTCAAGGCTTAGAGCTGAATGCTTGGCTGAGCCACTGGATTTCACCACACTTGGTGAGATCATCTTGAGCCGATGCAACTCTTGTAGTTTAGGCTCCAACCCGAAGATATGCATGTCACCAGTCATATCACAACAGCTGCCCAAACAAAGCAATCACAAAGCTTCGTTTGATGCTATGCTGTCAGATTGTAAGAAATGCAGTTCTTCGCATCTCTAGTTCTTACTGCCATGCTCTTTGCAACTTGCCTCCAACAAAAACAGCAGACTTGCACAAACGGCATAGACAGATGGCATAGAATCGCTATGAAAAATGTTCCCCGTTCCCCTTTCCCTCTGGCTTGCCCCAAGTTCCATGCAACTAAAACAAGCACACCCACAATCTCTCTGCCCCGAGGCCGCAGCCTGCACCTGCGAGATGTCAACAGCCTTGGTAGGATTCTACCTTCGCTCTACACCCACATCTGCTGCAGATTACCACTGCTGCCAAGCCAAAACTGCTGCTACACCGCCACCACCACCACCACCACCACCACCCCCACAATCACCACCACCCCCACAATCACCACCACCACGACCACCACCACCACCACCAGCAGCACCAGCACCACCACCACTACCACAACCACCACTACCACCACGACCACCACCACCAGCACCACCACCACCAGCACCACCACGCTGCTGCTGCTACTGCTTCTACTACACTACTACTACTACTACTACTACTACTACTACTACTACTACTACTGCCACTACTACTGCTACTACTACTGCTACTGCCACTACGACTACTACGACTACTACTAGTACTACTACTACTACGACAAC